CCCCCGCCTCCACTCCCTCCACCCCCTCCCTTTCTCCTCAATCCTCCCCCCTCACCCCCCCAGCTTGGCTCACCAGCTCCAGGCACTGACTCCTGGCGAGCAGCCAGCGCCCGGACTGTACCATCCGGTTAAGGTTAGAAGGGGGAGAGGGAGAATGGCTGATGGAAGAAAGGAGCCGGGCAGAACGGTTGGGAGAGATAAAAGTCAAGGTGAAGGACGTCCTCTTCGTCGTGTTTGTGGACCCTGAGAATTCTCGTACCCCGGGGTAGGATACAGCAGGAGGGACGGCGGTGATGCTGCCTGCCCCCCCCCTGCTCCGCACGGATGGGTGGCGCCCCAGCGGGGAGGCGTGGGGTGGGGTGTGTGGGGAGGAGGTCCCCTCCGCCTGTTAAAATGAAACTCTAGTGGCTGGCGCGGGGCAGAGCGTGAGGGGCCGGTGCTGGTGGGCTGCTGCTCCCCCGGCGGGAGCGTCCAGCCGAGCCCAGCTCCGGACTCCCCGTTTTCCGCGGGACGCCCCGTTTCGAGGCCGCGGCAGCTTGGTTTCCGAGCCCCGCGGGAGCAGCTACGAGTCCCAGCCCCTGAGGGAATCTCTCAGCACACCAGTGGGACCCCGAAACTTGAACTCAATTCCCACCCCCCCCTTTTTAAATCCTTTTCTTTGTCACTTCCCCAGCGTTCTCCCAACGCATTCTTTTTTTTTTTTTTTCCTTTTTCTTCTTCTCCGCATTTCCTTCTCCCTCCGCGAAGGACATCGGAGTGGCTTCCGCGGGAAGATCGGAAGGCGCTGGGAGCTTTTCCCTTCGGAGAGAGATCGTGTGGAAAGGATCCGGGGGAAGCTGCCTCCCCCCCCCTTTTTCCTTTTTCTTTTTAGAAACACTTCTGCCCTCTGCCCCCCAGTCCTCTCTGTAACGCTTTGAGGATAAAACACCGTAGCTTGAAAGTTTGGGGGGCGTTTTTGTTGAGTGCTGGGAGAGCAGCGACTAGGGAGGACCCCGGCCCTCGTCCTGGCTTTTGGCTGGACTTGTCCTGGCCGTTGGAAAACCAGAAGTACATTTTTGTGTGGAACTTTTACAGAGATATACATAGATGATATATTCAGATTTTTTTAGAAGAGCAGATTAAAAAAAAAAGATCTATATGCTTTCTATATATTTCCTGACGCCCTGCCCCTGACAGCGCCATGTACAATACGGTGTGGAGTATGGACCGCGATGACGCAGACTGGAGGGAGGTGATGATGCCCTATTCGACAGAACTGATATTTTATATTGAAATGGATCCTCCAGGTATTTGGGAGAAAAAAAAATCTTGTGATGGGTCTGATTTGTGCTTAACAAGACGTCGGTGATGGTATTCAGGGCATAAGTATTCGTGGGTGCGCTAGGTTTGGGATAAGGGGCAGGTTTGCAGTGAGGGTTGCAGTAAACCGGCTTCTGGTTTTACACGTTTAAAGTTTGCAGTTAGAACCTTGATTCCATTGTCCTGCGAAGGGGGGGTGGGAGCGGGAGGGGGGGAGAAAAGACCCTTTTTTGGTTTTGCATGTGGTTTTTGTGGGCCTTCCAGGGTGTGTGTGTGTGTGTGTGTGTGTGTGTGTTCATTTTCATTGAAAGATTTCTACCTGCAAGAGATGTTTTATAATTCACTCCTGAAGTCAGTCTTTCCTTTGAGGGGATTCTTTGAAACATTATTTCATACTTTTGTCTGATTTGGTTCGTTGTGTTTTACCTTGGTTAACTTAAGAAACTGAGTTGCCTATGTGTGATTATTCGTGTTTTTTTTTTTTTTTAGGACTCCGTTTTTCTCTTATAGAAACCAAATGCTGGTTGGTGATTTTCAGGGATTGGGGGTTCTTATTCAGTCATGGCCTTAGCCTGAGGTTTTCTTTCTCCGAATATAGTCACTGAGATGTACAGGCAATATTATATGTCTCTTTAATATATGGTGATTTAATTTATGGGATAGAGTTTGATTTAACATCAGCTCTTAGAGAACCTTCCTCTGAAGGCTATATGTACATGTATGTGATAGGTTCCTATATACATGTGAAGTATGCATACACTGTATTTTTATTTTAGAGCTTTGTCTGAGGCCATTACAGACATTTTGTGTATCTTGTAGGAAAGGACAAGAAAGGAAAATGAAAAGTTTCTTGTTTTTCTTTCAAGTCTACCTTATCTTATGGTTATAAGCTGTCAGGTTTTCAAACCCTCTTTACAATTACAGGCAGTGCTTTATGTAATGATTTTCAGTAAGTACTAGGTCTTTGTGATTCCTTGCTTTTTGTTGAAGATGAATTTGTTAGCTCTTTTAAAAATGTATTATAGCTAAACCTACAGAATAAATCATGTTTCATTGGGGAAACCTCACTTATTGTAAGACTATGTATTTTTGGAAATGTTTGAAAGAAATGGAGCCTATGCAAGTGTAATGAGTATAAATGTCTTATAGGTATGCAGAAATTATTTCCTGTGCCTTTGTGAACAGTAAATTATAATTTTTTTCTTCAAATTAGTGATTGTGTTAAATGATGCTGTGTAAAAAAACTAACACCAATATTAAATGAACCTTTTTCACTTTTAATGATAACTAAAGATTTTTCCTTTTCCCTTTATTTTAGAGAGTTCTTGACTTGCTTTTATAATTGTGACTGCAATCCAGATGCAGCTTTTCAGTGTTTCCTAAAGTTTCTAAGATATGCCACCCATCTATTGTGTGTGTTTCCCCCTTTGTTTCCCCCTAATGGTAAAGCATCATTTCTGTTAGATACATTTTGTCATTCATGTGTTCAAAATTTAGGATATCACTGGTACCCTTCTTGTACAAAGTAAGGTTACTCATTCTACATTTCTGTAATGTAAGAATTATATATTCAAACTGCGTTAGAATCATATAACTGTATCCTATGGTATCTTGCCTTGCAGACATACAAAGGGAATTTGTTGGGCGGGGAGGTGCGCGTAGGGAGGAGGGGAGAAAATGAAGAAGGCACTAATGGTTGAAATATACTGGCCTAATAGAAAAATATTGTCCAAGTTAAACTGAGTTGTCCAAAAATAATTTTAAGAAAAGTTGATTTAAATTATGTAAAGATGTGGGTCGTATAAGGTAGCATAGAAAATTATAATCTAAACTATTTTACATGGGGATAAACTTTTGAGTTTAAAATGTCATCATTAAATGAAATTTTATGTATTGAGTTTCTACTCAGAATATTGAAAATATGTATAAGCTATTTTTTATTATCTTTCTATTCTTACTGCATAGAATATGATTAGTTAATAGCTTTTCAAAAAGAGACCACACTTGAATATGCTGAAGCATTGCTTATGAAATGAATTTTTTTAAATGGAAATAATGTGAATGCCAGCCTTTTCTTGTGTGATAAATTAGTCTGAAATCTTTAAAACAGTAAATTATCAGTGAAGTGGTTACAGCATGTTTTTTATCTGACTTTTCCCATCTCAAGCTTTTTATTGTCTTCTGCCTAGACTGGTGTAATAGTTCACTAAGTTTTCCTATTTCTGCTCTATCCAGTCTACAGAAATGTTAAAGTACCAGGGCTGGGAAGGTGGCTCAGTAGTAGAGTGCTTGCCTTGTATGCATGAGGCCCTGGGTTCGATTCCTCAGCACCACATAAGCAAAAAGAAAAAAGCTGGAAGTGGCGCTGTGGCTCAAGTGGT